ACCGCCGAGCCCCCAGCAGAGTCACCCTGCCCGGGAGGACGGCGGCACCCACCGCCGCTGCCTGCTTGCACCCCGGCCAGGACGGCCCCGGCTCCCCCCGCCAGCCCCGGCGACACCAGCTGAGGCTTGAATTTCCCTCCGGACAATGGGGAAGGCAAGCCGGGATTGTAACCGGAGCAGGGGATAAATAAAGCTGCCCAGAAGTTTCCATTACCCGCACCTTGGGCTTCTGCGTGGGACATCAAAGCTGAACCCTCCCTGCCCCAAGGTCCCACGCCCCCAGCCCATCACCCTGGCTCCTGGCCTGCTGTGCCCTGGGTGCCAGAGCGCCGAGCCCCCTCGCCTGGCACTGAGGCCCCGACAGCTGATGGCACCGACACAAATCACCTACAGAGCACGGAGTGGAAAAGATGATTCGTTAGTGACAGCGCAGGAAAACCCTCCTCCTCGGCGGCGAGACAGCGGGCACCAGAACCGGCCCCGGGGAAGTCACAGGGGGAACTGGGCACAGGGGCACCCCACCCCACAGTCCCATGGCAGCCAGCAGCACCTCGGGCACGGCACACTCCTCCTCTTCCCGTCCCCCTGGGCCTGGCACGCACCCGCCACGGGGACCATGGCCCCGACCCGCGGAGCTGGGGCTCTCCCGTGGGGCTGCTCTTGACCCCCACAAATTCCTCCAAACAGCACCAGGCTCAGTTGAAATAACACATCCAGGGTTTATTGTTTTTTCCATTCCTCGCAGCTAATGATTAAAAAATCTAAAATAAATTACAGAATTAAATAAACACGGACTGGATTATTCCCCTCCCTGCCCTGTCCCTGATGCCCCCCCCCTCAAGAAAGCGTTAGAAGAGTCACTGGATTTGGCAACAGCAACAACAACAAAATAACCTCTAGGAAAAAGCAGCTACTTGTCGGGGCCGAGTGGTGCCAGGGGAGGGTCCCGCGGGCCTCGCCACCCCAAACCAGTGTGCATTCCCCTCCCACCACCGTTCAGCCTCTGCCCTCGCCCGCAGTGGCATTCCCTCGCCCCTTACCCGTGAGGCCGGCTTCCCCCCTGGCACGCCGTCCCCAGGGATGGTTCAGCCCCCGCTCTAGACGTGCGTCGGGTTGTCCAGATACGGGTCTGTCTTGGTCATGTGCAGCATGACCGTGGGGGCTTTGTAGTGGCAGTGCACCCCACCGCAGCTCACCCCGCTGCAGGGCTTGCCCCTCGTCCTCATGCCCAGCTTTCTGTTGCACAAGCTCTGCCAGGTCTGCAGCGTCTTGGAGCTCCACACCCACACCCCGCTGGTGATGCCCACCACCAGCGACATGAAAATCTTTAGCATAAAGACGGCCACGGTGGGCACCGAGGCCTCCAAGGAGCAGTTGGCAGCGCGCCGGCCGGGGAGGTGCAGGCAGCCGCGCTCCAGGGCCCTGAGATTCCAGTAATCCACATTCAGCCGCTCGTAGAAGTAGCAGACGATGACGCAGGTGGCCGGGACGGTGTAGAGGATAGAGAAGACCCCGATCTTCACCATCAGCTTCTCCAGCTTCTCTGTGTTGGTGCCACCCGTCTTCATGATCTTCCGGATGTGGAAGAGGGCGACGAAGCCCGTGAGGATGAAGGAGGTGCCGATGACCAGGTAGCAGGAGAGGGGGATGAGGACGAAGCCAGTCAGGGCGCTGACGTCCATGCTCCCCACGTAGCACAGCCCCGTGAGCTCATCCCCCGCCACCTTCCGCATGGTGAGGATGACGATGGTCTTCATGGCCGGGATGCCCCAGGCGGCCATGTGGAAGTAGCTGCTGTGGGCCTCGATGGCCTCATGCCCCCACTTCTTCCCAGCAGCCAGGAACCAGGTGAGGGTGAGGATGACCCACCAGAGCGAGCTGGCCATGCCGAAGTAGTAGAGGATGAGGAAGACGATGGTGCAGCCCGTGCTCTCCAGCCCCTCCTGGATGATGTAGAGCTCGCCGTTCTCCCGGTCGCAGGC